ACTAAATACCTTTTCACACTACAATGTAGCATGTAGCTAGCTCATGTTACAGAGGTAGCTACATGCTACATGGGTAGCTACATGCTACCTGACGCTAAATACCTTTTCACACTACAATGTAGCATGTAGCTAGCTCATGCTACAGAGGTAGCTACATGCTACATGTGTAGCTACATGCTGACGCTAAGGCTGTGTCCAAAACGGTGGGCCGGGTCCTCTGAAGGCCGAATTTTTCGGTCGAATAATTCACAGCGTCGCGACGAAGGCCGTCCAAAACCAAAGTCTCCTCTGACGCGGCCGACAAATACGTCCTTCCTGTGGCCTGAATTGAAGGACAGGCCCGATGGATCCTTCCCGGCCCACCATATCCCATAATGCATTGCGGCCCAACCGGAGATTTTTATGCTAGTAATGGTGGACGAAGCGAGAGAAAACAATACGTTTTAAATAAAATATGGCGATATAAAATTAAAATTTTTTAGTGGTTGTGTATTTAATACTTTTATATTTGTATAGACATGTTTTTAAATATTATTTTTGTCAGAAAAAACGCGAAATAAACATGCACCTACGGCGGGTCAGTTAGTTCTTCAAATATTACCTTTAACTTAATTTTATTGAGATATTATTAACTCTAATATATTGATATTTTTCTAATTTTGATCTAAGTTTGCTTCTCTTTAGCATGACGTACGCCGGGGTAAGGACAGGAGTCTAGACCGTCCAAATTCACAGCCTCTTTTTTTCCAGTCTTCCTGGTCTACCAAGGACCCGGCCCACCTCGACCGGGTAGGCTGGGTCCTCCAGAGGACCCGGCCTGCCGTTTTGGACACAGCCTAAATACCTTTTCACACTACAATGTAGCATGTAGCTAGCTCATGCTAAAGAGCTAGCTACATGCTACCTGATATCAGAGTTCACTCCTTCCTATCCTAATAAGAAAAGAAGATATGAGGAAAACAAGCAGGCAAATGGAAATTATGGATCTCTTTTTAAATCATAGAGCGATTAATTGATGGAAGTATTTCCCAATAAAGCTTGTCTCAGTAGTTTTTTCTGTATTTCAGGGTTGCAGCGAGACATCGTGGCTCTGTGTGATGCTCTGCAGCTTGGCTGAGGTTCTCCGTCTGCAGGATCCCGCCAGCATTCAGCTGGAGTTCGTTAATCTGGCTCGAACTTTTCCTGACCTCAGGTACTGCATACAGTATTTCTACACCTCTCTGAGGTACTGCACAGCACATTGGGGAAAGGGGACAGTACTCATTACTGTGAAGTATTTCCCAGAAGACATGTCTGCCTCCTAAACGTCCACTCAGCTGTGGGTTGGCTGAGTATTAAACACGAGTTTAGCGTGAATCAAAACTGCTGAGTCACTGTTCGTTTGTCATCGTTAACTACCAACAAAGCCGCCTCACTTGTATCTGATGATGTAATGTGTTTAATATTCACAACTGTCGCCCACTTCCTCTCCAGTCGGGGGCTTCAAGGAGCAAAGAGGCTCAGAAACCCTCAGACTAAACAGATCCTGTTCACCAGCTCACTTCAGCCGAGCTTCAACTTCTGATCTGATGTGAAAGTTTGGACATGTTTGGTGAATTATTAACTTATTCTTTTGGATATGAAATAACTCTGAAACGTATCACCTTCAGCAGATAAAGCTGAACAAAAACATCTCGTACCTTGGGTGTCGCAACTTTTCTATTTTCTTTTTTTTTTCTCGTTTAAACTTTCATCCAACTGCATCGAAAACATAAGCTTAAAAACCAGAGGAGTATAGAAAGTACATTTACTTTGTTACAGATTTTTATTAAGTATTTTTTATTCGGAACTATTACTTTAAATTTGTTACTTTCAAAACATAAAAATGATAATTTTACTTCTTTAATTTACAATTTAACACCTTGTCAGACACTACAAATTAAAAAAAAGGCCAAACTCTATGGAGGACCAAACCTATCATTATTGGAAATAAATGTATAAATATATAAC